TGAAGCTGTTTCCCAGCCTCTACAAACAAGTTGGACGGCTCACTAAGAACCTCACGGAGCTACTGCAAGACTATGCATACAGCGGTGAGAAAACCATACTTCCAGATGATGAAGAGTTGCAACGAAGAATATGCGTCTACAATAAGCGCCAATATGCGCGAATTATCAGAGAAATCAACACCGGCACAGAGTCACTACAAATGAGGATTGATGTGCTGAAGAAACTCCACCAAAGCGGAGAGTGTGCTGTTAGAGGAAAGTGATGACAATGGAAATGGAGGAGCTCGATAAAGAGATAAGATTTTTTGAAACAATTACTTATGCTCAGATGTTTGTTTGTGATGTACGACAACGCATGATAGAATTTGAAGTAATAGTGGAAGACATAGATCGCAGAAAGAACTTTTCCGCAAATAGTGGTAGCAATGAGCAAATTGTTGCCCATAAATCAGTCGAGCAACAAGGATTCAGCAGAACTAGGCGATTCTATCGCAACCGATACGCCGGCGATGAAAGATGGAACTCCGAGCGAAGATGAAAACAACGACAGTGAAGAGGGCAAAGACGAGAATCCCAATGACCACATCTTGACCTCGGCCTGCGGAGATCCCATATATGGCAATATGGCAGCGTGTGAAGGTATTGCCAGCTTAGTCCTAACACAGGACACGACATCTGTGCTTCAGGCAGATACTCGGGAGATCGTTCAAAAAGAAGGACATTTACAAGAACAAGATTTCAGTTGCATCGCTATGAAGAACACGAAGCTGGATCTCGATTATGTTTTACCTCCAAATGAAGACGCAAATGTAGAATTACTTCAGTGTCATCATTCAGCTCCCACATCAAGTTCTCCACAAGATCGTGCACATTGTACCACCTCTAACATGGGCCATAATTTCCACTGTCTGCTGACTCGACAACGTCCATTGCGATATCCCGACAAAGAAAGTAGTTATGTTACACTCGTGCATTTCGTTGTTCTCACTTCTCCCGCTGGCCGGAGTGTGCCGACATTGTCGGCACTT